TTATTCAGTGTAAAGTGTATTTCCTACATCATGCCTGTAACCAAAGCATAACAAATTAAGAAATACCATACACTGAAATGTTGGTTGCAGTGCATCCTTGTATGCAGTGCCTCTGGCATATCTGCTGGATATTTGGTTCAATTGCTATAAAAGATTTGTCAGCAGTCACAATGACTTGTCTTCCAATTAGGTCACATGATGTAAAGATCTTAAGTGCTTACTTAGGGTTTTATGAGTGGGTTTTGTTGGGGTTTTTTTTTAAATAAATATACTTTTCAAAGGCCTGAACATGGTAGAGAAAAAAGATAGACACATCAGTAATGGTTTTTGGAGCAATCACCACAGCTCATTTATCGCCCATCTGATTTTTCTTCATGTACCTATCTATCTTTTAGGACTATGAGCTGGAACATATCTATGTATATAAAAAACACATTTTGCTTTGAAATCTTTTCATTGCCTCTTTGAGTCTTTATGACTGTGGATTTCAAAATGTATCTACAGCTATTCTGTATATTGGTATTGGTATTGCTTTGATCTAATAGAATACAAATGTAGTGCACTGTAAGATTGTACATGAAAATTAGCTTTATAATATTTTAGTTCAACCAGATAAATATCCAGACAGACATATTGATAGAAAAAACACCTCTGATAACACTATTCCTAAAGTTAAAATGGTAAGACAGATTTTGTAGATGGAAGTTTGTATCATTTGTTAAGGCAGTTGGATACCTGGAAAAGTTAGACAAACTTTCAGACACACAAGTTGTCTTCATGTCTGATACAGAAGCATCAGACGTCAAAGCTAAATCCAAGTTGAAAGCAATTGCTCAGGGTTTAAGTATAGAGAATTTTTCATAAAACAGTCACTGCAGTTCTTATGTCTTGATCCTGATCCTCACACTTCCTTCACAAGATCAACCTTGAGACTAGGATACACAAAGTGTTGGCTTTAGTAGAAGTATCAGTTTTATGACATGTTATAGTTTCCTTGCACATGCTTATCTCTTCATGTTTCACAGGTTATCCATGTCTCTCTCTCATTACAACCTGCCTACCTTATCAACGCTTCTTCCTCCCTCACATATCCCCTCTACTCCAACAAGAAAGATGTTATATGATCTAATATACTAAAATCAGCAGTCTTCCCAACTTCTATTTTAGTTTGAAGCCCTCTATTCTGGGTATTGAAAGGAGCTTGTATGCTCAAGATCTTGACTCATTTTTATCTTGTGGAAAAAAAAAAAATTATGCATACAACTCTTTCTTGCTATCATAGATCCTCATAGCTGGAGTTTCACCACCATTAGAACTTTCCAAACCACACCACAAAAATTCATCTTTCGTCATATTGCTCAAGGTAGAGATCTTCTAATCATAGGACAGATTTCATTCTTGATGGAGCTTGTCTTTATTTATTAAATGCACACAAAACTCAAACAACTAGGTTTTTCTGTGAACCATGTGTTGCAATGAGTCTTTGCCCTACTGGAGTAGAAAGCTAGGAATTTCTGTCTTGTAATGTTTTTGTTTCAGAATAATCTAATAATTCAGAAGCTTGATAATCTAATAATCAGGTGCTAGGAGTGTTTTAGTGGCAAATGACAAAACTTTAGGTCAGCTACAGATCAAATGGCATTGGTTGCATTTAAGGAATATTCCAATACAGTAACCAATTTCTAGGGAAAATAAAGTTGAGTAGTGTTAGGAAATCAGAGTAAAGATTTTGTTGTATATGTTGAAGCCCTCTTGATTCTTTTCTGTTTGGGGTACAGATTTGGATGTCTTTATCGTGAAAATGATAAACTCTGATTCACCTTAAATTTTCTAATTAATTTATTTTTACTTGCTGTCAATAGCAGAGTATTTAAGAAAAATAAACCTCCATTTTGTAGTTTTTTTCTAAACCACACGGCACTTGGTGATTCTGTTCCATAGGAAATAGTGGAGATGATATTTGTATTGATCTTCATCTGTAAGAGAAGATACAGATAATATTTGTGGGATCCATAAGCTTATTAGACATTTTGATGAAACTAAGGGCTACTTAGGCATGATACAAATTAACAAAGATATTAATCTCCAGTATCTTTAAGTCCAAAGTAAAAACCTGAGATTGAAACAATTTTCCTTGTCTTGTCTCTTGTCTATGTAAGCACAATAAAAAAGACAATAACATTCATATCTAGATGAAAATCCCATGGAAATAAATCTTTTACATTGTATTATGTTTCATTGTGTCAGGCTTAGATTCACAACATTTACTTGCTCCTTCATGATCTACTTATAATTAAAATATATATTCTCGCTGTTAATATTCTATGTTGAAATTAGTCTCAGATGCATAGTACTGTTTCTTCAGAAAATACCGTAGTTCATCTTTTAAACATGAAGTTTAATGTAATCATTAGAAGATAATGCTTGATTAAAATCTGAAATTACTTCTGCAATGGAACTTTATATTGTACTGTGATTTTGCTCTAAAGTATGAGTGCTTTCAAGAATATCCTGTACCAAACAAGTAAGTTTTACAGACAGAAGTCCTTCCATAGGTTTGCAAACATGAATTCCAGCAAAAGGACATCACAATTGTCTTAAGTAGATGACTTGATTGATAGAAGGTGGAAAATGTAAAATCATTCCTTTTGTGTCTGTGTTTGTGCAAAAGCAATCTATCCCATCTTGAACTTAGGGATGTACAAATCATATTTAATCATTAGTAAGCATCTAAAATCACTAAGTTGTTGAAAATCTGCCTACTTCATATTCGCTGTGGGGTCAAAAAGAGAAATAAAGGCATTACGGTTTCTCAGAAAAATTTGATATAAAACTTTCCTGATATGATTGTGATCAGATAGCGGTTTCTGATTGGAGGACTTTCCCTCGAATGTAGTTGTTTCTAGACAAACTGACACTGTTAATGAATGCTGACACCTTGAATGAAAATAATTGGAGTAATGCAGAATATAAATGCTCCTTCAACGAATAGCTTTTTAACAGGTCACCAAAAGGTGAGCTCTGTTGAAACTGGCATGTTTTTTTCTCTTAGTGTTAGTTCGTCTCCTTAAGTATGATACTTGTAAAAAACATTCTGGAAAAGCCAGCAGTTAATGTGAATACTAAATGTCATTTGAAGGGAATCCAGCCTGCGTTTGAAATAAAGCTTGAATATAGAAAGCTTTTGTTTTTCATACAAGGTATTCTTAAACAGTCGTTTATGCTCGGGATGCACTTTATATTGGGCCAAAGAAATCTTCAGATCTTTTCTAAGATTTTATCTTTTCTGTGTAAAATAAAGGTTACATTGGCATTAACAGATACTTTGACAATTTTGACCACTGTAATTTGTCTTCAGCTTTTTCATATTTTTACTCCCTAATCTCTCTTCAGTTTGATACAGTATCCATCATGACAGTAGTCTAAGTTAAAGTTTCTGAGAATTTAAAATTTCTGCTTATTTTGAACAAATGTGAAAACATTTGTAGAGTTCTTTTTCTGCCCTGCTTCCTTCCCCCGTGGTCTTCAGCTTCTTGTCTTTCCACAGGCTCCCCGCTCAGAATGTAGGTTTTGCCCTGATCCAAACACAACAATCTACTTAAGCTAGGCACGTTTAGATTTCCTCTCTAGAGAGGAGAGAGATGGTGGTGCTCAAGGAGTTTAGTACACTAAATTATATTCTGATTCATTTATCAGGCATCCTTCTTGATAATTTGGGCTGAGAAATTTGAAATATCTGCTTTCTGTGCTGAATTCCAGAGCTCCTACAATTGTTTGCATTGCTTGCGATTGTGACTTATTAGTGAAGAGAAAGGAGAGATGATATTTTAGAGATATGTTTGCCTGATGGTGGTCCCAATGCTTATTCCTGGAATTTTACATCCTGTTCCTTCCTTAGACTTTTAAGTGATCTCACCTGTGGTTAGCTGTGTTTAGTTGGCACAAGGCATGGTAACATCATTATAATACTAAAGTTTACATAATAGCTTTGCCCTAAAATAAAAAAAAAAAAAATCTTGACTATCATGTTATCATTTCAAAAGTTCACAAGTCAGCTGTGAAAGGGGATCAGAGTAATTTGGTATAATTACTCATCAAGATCAGATCTTAAATGCACAAAGATCTCTAAAAACAAAAATTCATTGAACAAGCTATGAATATAGTTAAATAAACACTTCGTGCAATTCACAGTAGAAGATTCTGTATACGTTCAGTTTGCTAATTATACACTATGAAAAACTGAACAAGACAGGGACTTAAGGATATTTGTAGATATAACTTAAATACTAAGTACTGTTCTTAACATTAGCAAAAAGTAATTATAATAATAATTATAGACTCTATTGCATGCAAGTGTGAATGTCCGTCTGTGTGTATGTGCCGTCTTAGAGATAATTATTAAGTCTTTGTGAAAAATTACAGTCAGGAGTTGAACTAATGCATGTGCTGGTGAGGCTGTAAAAATGTAACCTAAAAGAATATTTGTTACTTTGTCTTTAAAGTAATTTGCTTTGAAACAGTTTGGTTTATTATGCACCAGATTTATATGTTTTTTTAAAAATATTATGCAATTAAAATGTTTTAAATGTATTATTTTTAAATACAAGACAGTTTCTGTCATTTCTAAAACCTTGTTTCAGTGTTGTTATTAAAATGGAGAATGGTGGTAGTTAAAACAGTTGACTATAAAGAAGACAATTTATATCAATATGTTTTCTTAATATTTTGCATGTTGTTTTCATTGTTTATATCAAGCAAATTTTACGTGGATATTTTTATTATCTTTACTTCAGTAGAAAGACTATAGTCCATTGTTTGTATTTTGACACAGGCAGAGACATGGGAGTTAGTTGCTCATGTCACTTTATGGTAAATGCAGGTGTGTGCACACTAGACTGATATTACACTTGAAATTAATCATCCATGGAGCCATAAAGCCCTAGCCTAAAAAGAGCTGTTGACTCTGAACATGTTGTAATTTACTTCTCTTTTACTTGCAGATTGCCTTCTCACAGCACAATACTATTATGGATCTGGTGCAGTTCTTTGTCACCTTCTTCAGGTAAATTGCTTTTTCTGTCTTCTGACTGCAATCATGCTGATTCTTTTCAAACAAACTGGTATCTTAACCAGCTTCTTAATCTGAAGAAATGCCTGCAAGGAAGCCTTTAAACTGTGTTCTCTAATTTGCAACAGTGGAGGATCCAGGCCGTTGCCCTGTAACTGCAGGCAGCTGCTGGCATCTTTCATATATTTCATTTTCACTGCAGCAGTCTTCACACTTACTTCATAAAGATTAGCTAGATATGTACTCTATATTACAGTGATTAAAAGAAGCCAGCTATAGTCACTTAAACTAGTCATTTATATGTGTGAATTTTTTGTAAACTCTTTGAAAGAATTATTAAAAATAATGGTTCTGTTCAATAGCTGGTTATTTTTAATAAAGCACTACTAATGCTTTCATGTGTTAGAGATTAATTGTGAAAGGCAGTAGGTGATGCATGAGATTTGGTTGTGGCAGCAATGCAGGAATTGGCTTCAACTGCAAATGGACAACTATTCTAGGATCGGAACAAAACTCCACTGAAAGACTTCTTAAAAGTTCAGCTGTCATATAAGATGTCACAAACTTGAATATACAGGGATTAGTTATGGTGCTTAGAAATCTTGCTGTGAAGATATTCCCCAATAACCATGAAGTGTATGCAAAACCTGAACAGTGATAGATGAGTACGTTCATCAGACTTTCTCTATTTCTAGAACTGCCATGCATTTATTTCATAAGTTCGCAGTACAGCTTTTCACTTTGATCACTGTGCTCTGAGCACCTGTACCTGAAGAATTAGATTCTTAAATGCTGTGAACAGACCAACTTCTGTTAATTGCCGTCCCCAAAAAGGGGGCAGAAATGAGCAGACCCTGAAGTCTTCTGTACCCAGTGTATTGACTAATGGAGAGTGGGTTAGTAGCTGATGCGAAGCATCCCATTTCTCCTCATTCACCTCAAGCAGAGCAATAAAATACTGATTGCCTAAAGGTCAGTCTATTAGTGTTTTGGGAGGTTGGTGTTTGGTGGTTGTTTTGTTTCTTGGTTTATTAGTTTTGGTTTGTTTTTGTTTTTTTTTTCTGGGAAGCCAGCAAGATCTTAAAAAATAATGATGCTCATGCAAAACTTAAGATGATAAACTCCTTTAGAGGAGAGCAAAGTCTGTCCAAGTACAGTAGAACAGAGGGACCCTGTGACGAATAGCAGACGTAGACTAAAAGGAATATGTTTCTGCTCTGTGCCCTTATGCAGGCTTAGAAATGGTCAACTATGGGCTCTTTGATGGTGAAGCCATCTCTGTAGATACATTGCATTAGCTGTCCTGGTGTGATGGTCTATCTGATACAGTTTGTTCTGAGTAAATGCAAACTCACTGTGATCCTGATGAAAGAAGAGATCTGTCTTCTACTGGGAAGCCAAGGCCAATGTGATCCCCCTTACAGAAAGGTTGTACCACTGCCTTTGCCTCAGTCCTAATTGTATGACCAAGGCTTTCAGCCAGCACTCAGTTCAGAAAGGGCTTGCAGCTATCTGCAGCATAACGTTAATGATCAACCTGAAGGGGTCCTACAGGAAAGATGGTGAGGGACTGTTTATGAGGGAGTGTAGTGACAGGACAAGGGGCAATGGGTTCAAGCTGAAGGAGAGTCGATTTAGATTAGATGTGAGAAAGAAATTCTTTACTGTTGGAGTGGTGAGGTACTGGAACAGGTTGCGGATGCCCCACCCCTGGAAGTGTTTAAGGCCAGGTTAGATGAGGCTTTGGGCAACCTGGTCTAGTGGAGGGTGTCCCTGCCCGTGGCAGGGGCGTGGTAACTAGATGATCCTTGAGGTCCCTTCCAACCCAAACTATTCTATGATTCTATGCACCTTAGGAACCTAGTTGCAGATATATGTAAAGGAATCAGGAAATGCCGGGAGTAGTGCATTGCAGTAAACCAAGCAAGGTAAAAAGTCAATGACAAGGCACCCTCCAAAGGCACATACAAATCAGGCTAAGGTTTGATGATTATCATGAGAAATAGAATGTTTATCAAAATATAATTTAAAATCTTTACGTGAGATTGTATGGTACTCTTCCTCAACTGAATCGGTATTAGGGTGTGTGTAGACATAGGTAGGATGTCTAGGAGCTGGAGCTTTCATATCGTGTTTCTAAGAAAAAAATAGGAACAGAAAGAATAGCACACAGTAGATTCACACTTTGCAAAGCAGAACCTGAGAGGAAAAAGGAAGGGAAGGGAGAAGAGAGGTGAAGCTTGAGTTGGTTCTGAACGAAATGAATGCATGAAAATAGTTATTTAATTACATTGTGTTCTCAAGGTGATTAACTCTGCTAGGAAGATTAGCCCAGGCCTATTGCTTGGCTAACCAGCAAGACAGGAACCGGTGCCTTCTGTGTGGTTTAGTGTTATGCCCCGAGGCATGGGGTTTTCACAGGTTTTAGAAGTCCATGTATTTTCTCATCACAGAACCAATACAATCACACATAATGTCATAGCGACACTCCCGACTCGTAACTGCAGCATCCTCACTGACATCAGAGCTTGCAAATAGTCAGTCCATGTAAATGATCCAAAGAAGAAACTGTCAGGTTGTTATGTCACTGAGCTAGTAGTTGCAATATGTTGTAAATAAGTGTAGGAATAATACTTAGTGTGTCCTTTACAGGAAACCAGACTGAGAAATTTAGAAGAAAAAGTTTTCAGTCTAGACACCATTAAAACTTTCAGTAGTTATCAAATTGGATGTTGCTTCTACAGGATCACTAGTCTAAACAAGCTGCAGAATAATTCTAATAGGAAAATGTAGCAAAAACTAATTTATTTTTTTTCTTCACACTAGTGGACAGAGTTAGTCATACCCAAAGACAGCATCAATATGTCCTCTCAAAAGTGGTTGATAGTGTTCAAGCCTTTATTGGAAAATTTGGTTTCAACAGTTTGTAGCCGAACAAAATTATTGTAATAAGCGCTGGTTTGTTGGGTTTTTTTGTTTTGTTGGGGTTTTTTGTGGTTTGCTTTTTGTTGGGTTTTTCCCCCTCCCCCCGTGGATGAGAATGCGGTATATTAAAGCAGTGGCAAATTGTGTTGGTAACAGTAATAACCCAAGTCATATTTGTTACGATTATTGACAGAGAAAATAATTGTGTTTAAAGACAATTTGAATGTGCTTGATAACAAAACATGTTTCAACCCGCTTTGATAAATGTGCATTTGCATTTCTTCCATCTAGTATTATATTTTTCATATTTCTGAGCACACGGTATAACCCTGTTCACCCTTGCCGCCTAGCCAAACCAGCAAATAAATAGGTTTATTTGACAATAACAGTTTTTTAAAAAAAACATTCAAAAGTATAGTTTAAAACTGTTCCTTTATAGGGTAAGTGTTCCAGAGTAAAAGATGCAATGCACATTTCACTGCTTCAGTCAGAAACATCAAACAAGCATTTTTAGAATTTTCCCAATGTATCAAGATCAACTATTATAAAAATATTGCTCTGTGAGGAATTTTTTTAAAATGATATGTAATAAAGTGCAAAAACCATTATTAGATCTGCAATTAATGTTTGATCTACCAAGGTACTGGTGTACATTCTAGAACAGAATGGTTATAGAAATGAAAGTTCTTTTGAAAAAGTAAGCAGAATATTACAGAAACTGTACTGCTCCAGATCATGATATTCATATAAAAAAACCCCCACAACCCACAAAAAACCCAAACCAAAACAAAACAAAAAAAAAACCCCACCCTATTTAATTTCATTTTTATACTGGAAAGTTACATTTTGTCCGCACTGGTACAGGTTAGGGGTTGACCTGCTGGGAAGCAGCACTGTGGAGAGGGACCTGGAATCCTGGTGGAAAACAAACTCTCCTTGACCAGCAGTGTGCCCTCGTGGCCAAGAAGGCCAATGGTATTCAGGGGTACATTAAGAAGAGCGTGACCAGCAGGTCAAGGGAGGTTATCCCCCCCTCTACTCTGCCCTGGTGAGGTCACATCGGGAGTACTGTGTCCAGTGCTGGGCTCCCCAGTTCAAGAAAGACAGGGAACTACAGAAGAGTGTCCAGTGGAGTGCTATGAGGATGATGAGGGGACTGGAGCATCTCTTTTATGAGGAGAGGCTGAGAGAGCTGGGTCTGTTTACTCGGGAGAAGAGAAGACTGAGAGGGGATCTGATCAACGCTTATAAATATCTAAAGGGTGGATGTCAAGAGAATGGGGCCAGGCTCTTCTCAATGATGCCCAGTGACAGGACAAGGGATGAGGGGCACAAACTGGAACACAAGAAGTTCCATCTCAACATGAGGAAAAACTTCCCTCTGAGGGTGACCGAGCACTGGCACAGGCTGCCCAGAGAGGTTGTGGAGTCTCCTTCTCTGGAGAGATTCAGAACCTGCCTGGATGCGATCCTGTGCAACCTGCTCTGGGTGAACCTGCTATAGCAGGGAGGTTGGACTAGATGATCTCCAGAGGTCCCTTCCAACCCTACCAATCTGTGAATCTGTGACCTACTGGTTCAGTAACCTTTTGTCTAAGAGGAGAAATGCAATCAGATCTGTAAGAGTAGTAACAGATTCCTAACAGTCTTGTAGAAACTGTGGCATCTGTGTTACTTTAGTCAATGCTTTTTAGCTCATGCCTTGAAGACTTTTAGCTGTCACACAAATTTAAGTAGTGTGTGACTTTTTTTTCCACCTGCTTTGAAGCAGTACTGATCTCATTAGAAAATTTCACAGCCAGCAAATGTGAATGGTCTTTCTTCTTATACTGAAGAAATTCAGTCCCTACAGTTAAAGAAATTCTATTCCTGTATTATGCTGACCGGTAAAACACTCAATAAGCTACAGCCTGGTTGTTGGTTGGTTTTGGTTTTTGTTTTTGTTTTTGTTTTTTCCTAAAATGTAAGTGATAAAGAACTTTTCAGTGTTTTCAAGTCTTACATGAACATATTGTTTTAGCTGAGTAGGTGGCCAGGACATTTTAGGTGTTTCATAATGGTATATGAAG